CCACATAAACTTTGCTTTCCTTCCCTAGTTTCTAAAGACAGTGGGATAGAAAGATTACTATCTGAGATTGAAATAAACAGCATCAGCAGTCATTGTCAGTGAGGGTATCAGACACAGCCTTTGATGGCCGGAGTTATAGACACAGACACAGCCTTTGATGGCCCCAGTTGCAGGCACAGACACAACCTTCGATGACCTGGGTTGCAGACACAGACTCCGATGGCCCAATTACACAGTGCAGCTTTGTCAGGTTAGCTGGGCCAGATGGACTTGATTAAACCAATCAGGATTGGTTTTGTTTTTTTCATGGCTATCCTGGAACTCACTCTGTCAACCAGGCTGGCCTTGGACTCAGCGATCTGCCTGTCTCTGCCTCAGGACTTTTAAAAAGCATCTCAACATACTTTTCCTCCACATACAGAAGAAAAGAGGTGTCTTATGAAGTGTGGTTTGGGATGGAGAGATAGCTCAGTTGTTAAAAGCTAGACTCACAACCAAAAATATGAGAAGTGTTGCTAATTATGCCCTTATCACGCCACTTACTAGAAAGGGCTACAACTTAGTAACGGAAAAGTCCCAAAGAGTGGACCTCAGAAAGATCCTTTCCAACACCACAGCAGAGAGAACGCCCAGAGACAAGTGCGGAAAAGAAAGTGAACAGACATGGTGCCAAGAGTTTCTGCCCTGGGAAATTCCCAACAAGTCTTGTCCTGCTCCTTTCTGACTGGGCAGCCTTCTCATGATGCCTGGCCTTCTCAGCACCAAGTGAAGGACATGAATTGTGTTGGAAATTTTGTGCTATAGCACACAAACAAACGTGGACATTCAACAAATCTGGGGGAAAGTCTTCACTTTATGATGGTGCTGCAGGTAACCTCTATTGGTTTGGCTTGAGGGCTTGGAGATGCCTTATTTGCATGGAGGTGTTATCCCTACGTGGTAAAGGCCACAGACCTCTTTGTGGGAAGCGGAAGCTAAGAGGGCCATATATGGCCTGGGAAATCAGAAGCAACCTCCCGTCCTGCTGACCCTCTTCAGGCCAAGGTCTCCGGGGCTTCAAAGATTTCTACCAAGCTTTCTGGCTTTCTCATAGCCTACTGCCCCACACTGGAGAAGGAGATAAGTTCTAGAAGACAGCAGGGAGGGAGGGAGGGTGGGAGGGAGGGGGGGAGAAAGGGCGATAGGGAGGGAGGGAGGGAGGGAGGGAGACAGAGACACAGAAACAGAGACATTGGGCCTGACTTGAACCCTCAAAGTCAACCCCTCAGTGGCACAGCTTCTTAACCAGGCCACATGTTCTCCATCAAGGCCACACCTCCTAATAGTGCCACTTCCTATGAGCCTATGGGGGCTATTTCCATCAAATCACAACGATATTTCTTATAAACCTAAAATCTTTGACAGGCTAAGCGCCATACAGCTAATAGACCCATTTGACACAAGAATGTAAAAACTAAGCCAAACTCCACACAGTTCATGTTATAGTTTTTGGACCTTGAATTTCCCCTAGAGACCCATGTGTCAAAGGCTGAGTCCCTACATGACACTATTAGAAGGTGGTGACACCTTTAAAAGGCAGAGACTAGTAGGGGGTTTTCAAGATACTGGGGTATTCCTTTACGGAGGACTGTGGGATACTCAGCCCTTCTTCGCTCTTTTGGCCTTCTAATCCTTAGTAAGCAATCCTTGTGTGCCATCTTAAAAGGGCCTGAAAGAGAGGACCTAGTTGATATCAGGCTGAGACCTTGAAAACTGAGCAGAAATAAACATTTTCTCATTATAAGGTGATTATGTCAGACATTTCATGACAGTGCAGAAAGCTAACTAACACCATTTATATAAAATTACCGGCTGGGTAGAATACTGGTATTGTTTTGTTTTTCTGTTTTGGTTTGGTTTTTTTGGTGGTTTTTGAAACAAGATCTCACAGTGTAGCATGGGACTGCCTCGGACTCACTGGCTGGGCTAAGCAGAACTCATGGCAATCTTCCTGCACTAGCCTCTTAGTGGTGAGATGATAAGTATCTGCCATGTACCCTATTAAAACATCCTTTAATATCTAATAACCTGGGCTATCTACTGCGCAGGCTTAGTAGGTACAGGCGCTTGCTGTTAACTCTGATGAACTCAGCTTGATTCTTTGGACCTACACAGTGGAAAGAGGAAACCAGCTCCCAAAAAAGTTATAAAGTTGTCCTCTGACCTCTACATGGCCACCACAGCATCTATACACACACACACACACACACACACACACACACAAACACATACACACACGCGCACGCACATACAAAATCACTCAAATCAATAAATATATTAATTAATTAAAAATCTAATAAACTAGATACCATACTGATGTGAACATCACTGGACAGTGTAACCAGACAACTTTAAATAGGCAAAGAGCTCTAAAAATGTCCTGTGCCTAGTTCCAACTTCTCCGGGTTAGTCGGTTTCTTATAATTGCATCAAATTCCTAAGAAAAAGAACACGCAAGGACAGACTTATTCTGGCCTGCAGCTTCATAGGTTTCAATCCAGACACTTGTCCCATTGTTCGCTTTGGATGTGGGTCAAGGCTGAGTGAAGAGGTGACAGTGACAGGTGACAGTGTGCAGAGCAGAGCCTCTAGTTCCTCGTAGACAGCAGAGGATGGAGAGCAACAAGAAAAGCCCCATTGACAGGCCTCCAATGACCTACTGCTTCCAAATAGGCTCTACCTCTGAAAGTTTCCCTTGTCTCCAAACACTGCCATCAGCCATCAGATTATGAATTGGCCCCTGGATAAGAACATCCATGGAGTAGGTCAGGGCAACCAGGATTCACTCACCCTCTCAGTCACTGGCCTGACTAGCAGGACACCAAGCCTTCACTTTAGAGAATTTGTATATCTCAACCATTACTGCTCTTATTCCGTGTTGTATAAATACATTATCTCAAAGGTAGGGGAGGAAGAGACAAACATCAGATCTAACAATGCTTTAAACGTTTGCATGAGAGAAAGGCACACGGTTCAGTGAGTTAAAAATTGGTAAGATGCATGCATGCATGGTGCATTTGGTCTGAGTACACACAATCAAGGAAAAAAGTTCAAGAGTATTAACTGAGGGAAGAAAAACATGGCGAAGGCACTGGCAGCTGGGTAGGGAGGGGCTGGGGTCAGGGCAGGGGAACTGAGTCAGGGAGACAAACAGGATGCTGGGAGGTGAGAAATAAGGGTGGGGAGTAGTGCGGAGTCTTAAGAGGAACTAACAAGATCTGTTGCTTATAGTTACCCAGAAACCATTCAGAACAAAAACACACAAACAAGCTTAAAAGGAAGAAGCTGGAGGACAGGCCTTCCAGCTGAGGAGACCCACAGCTTGTGCTCTGGTGTTGGGGGAGCTGTGTGTCGGCTCTCTCATAGTTATATTCCTAGTCACTGACTCTGTTGACTAGATAAATCCTGGCAAAGCACCATAGACCGGAAGAGTGAAGCCTGGGCTGCAGGAAGTACATGCCTGTAAAAATAGGAACCTGGGCTCTGTTCATTCTAAGTTGCCGGCTCCTCTGGTTTGCAACTTTTTCTGCTTGGCGATGCTTTCGAACAGATATATTTTGAGGAAGAATTCTGGTTTTGAGAAGCTAAGCAGGCCCAATCACTCAAGCGGCTACAGAAAACTTCAAAGTCTGCCTCCTCCCAGGTTTCTCACCCCTCCCCACCCCGTCCCCTCTTTCTTGCCCCTGTTCCTGGTGCCTGAGTCTGGGGTGCTTCCAAGAAGCTAATTTTGCATTTCATTAGACACAACTTAGCCACTTGTCTCTAGCTATTTTTTAAATACACTTTTCCTTGCTCCTGAAAAGGTGTGTTAACTAAAGAAAAACTACATCAGAGTATTCGGAGAATTGAAATGCAAAGAAAAAAAAAAGCCACCCTCGTGCCAGCCGCTGAGACAACACTCTAACATTTTTTTTTAAAGCAAATCTTCCTTCTCTAAAGACCTCTGCACCATTCCTAAGGACAACTACAGGCTGAGTCTTTCCATAGACCACAGAGTAAAACTTCCAAAGCACCTGTGAATGTACTAAGTTGGGATACCCAGGAATAAAAAGGCCGACATCCTTCCAACCACCTGGAGACCTGTGTCACTTGCTTTAGATGCAAAGATTCGGGAAGGCCAGGCATGCAGTCCTTTGGGAACAAAGAGCAAAAGGGAAGACAGTGACACCATGTCAATATATCAAGCAGATTCCACACTCTGCTAGCTGAATCACAGAGAGAGAAAAATGTGCATGTGCCCCTCAAAAATAAAAAAGATGCTCTATGTATAAAACCATGTACATAAGATAGCCCCTGATTTAACGGTTTGACAGAATGATGGTATTTATTGACTTTACTAGATTCTCAAACTTTCTGTTCACAATCAGCCATTGTTGGATTAGCTGGACCACAGCCTGTACAAGTCATTCTAATCTAATATATATATGTGTGTGTGTATACACACACACACACACACAGAGAGAGAAAGAGAGAGAGAGAGAGAGAGAGAGAGAGAGAGAGAGAGAGAGAGAGACGGGGGGGGCTGGTTGGTTGCTCCTAGCATCTCTGGATAAATTGGCAAGGGATAGGGATGGGCCCATAATAAAATTGACCAACTTCTAGCATCTCAGAATACAGTGAAGCAATGAACTTAAGTGATAAAATTGGCCTGCTCTCGATGTGCATGGACAGTCTAAAGCAGCAGTTCTCAACCTGTGGGTCAAGTCCCCTTTGGGAGTCTACCAACCCTTTCACAGAGGCCACATATCAGATATCCTGCATATCAGATATCCTGCATATCAGATGTTTACGTTATGATTCATAACAGTAGCAAGACTGCAGCTAAGAAGTAGCAACAAAATAATCTTAGGGTTGGGGGGAGGGGGTCATACAGCACAAGGAACTGTATTAAAGGGCTGAAGCATTAGGAAGGTTGAGAACCACTGGTCTAAAAGTTTCTAAGTGGAAAAGAACTTACTTACCAGCAGCCACAGAACTCAAGCTGCAGAAATCAAACCAAGGCCCTCCTTGTCTTAGTTAGGTTTCCATTGCTGTGAACAGACACCCTGACCAGGGCAGCTATTATAAGGCACAACATTTACTTGGGACTGGCTTACAGGTTCAGAGGTTCAGTCCATTATCATCATAGCCGGAAACACGGCAGTGGCCAGGTAGGCATGGCACTGGAGAGGAGCTGAGAGTTCTAGATCTTCATCCAAAGGAAGCCAGGAGCAGACTATCTTCAGGCAGTTAGAAGGAGAGTCTCCCAAAACCCATTCTCACATCGACACACTTCCTCCTACAAGGCCACACCTCCAAATAGTACTACTCACTGAATCAAGCATATTCAAACCAACACATTCCACTTCCTGGCCCCCATAGGTCTGTTTAAATACATGGGTCTATGAGGGCCATAACTAGCCAAAGCATAATGCAAAATATACATTCATTCCAACTTCAAAAGTCCCACAGTCTATAACAGTCTCAACAGTGTTGAAAGTTTAAAAGTCTCTTCTGAGGTTCATGCAATCTCTTAACTGTAATCCCATAATAAATCAAAATTTTAAAAAAACAGATCACATATCTCCTACATCATGCAGGATATACATTACCATTCAAAAATGTCATGGCGAGAAAATGGCCAGACCAACATAAGACCAAAAAAGCAGTTGGGCAAACTCAACATCGCCATGTCTGATGTCAAAGCTCTCTTCGAATCTCCAGCTCCTTTCATCTTTGTTGACAGCAACACAATACTTTCCCTTTGGCTGGTTCTATTCCCTGTTAGAAACTTCCCTAAGCCGGTATCCCATGGCTCTGGCATCTCTAACATCTTGAGGTATCCAAGGCAACTTCAATTTCACAGGTTCTTGTCCCATTGTCTAGAATCTACACATGATCTTCTGGGCTCCTCCCAAGGGCTTGGGTCACTTCTCCAGCTCTGCCCTCTGTAGCACTCTAGGCTCTGGTTGACTCCACCACACTGCTGCTGCTGTTCTTAGTGATCATCTCACAATACTTCAATACACTGCCTTCCATTGCAACTAGGCTTCACCAATAACCTCTCATAGACTTTCTTCATGATGCCAAGCCTCAACTTCTTTGTATGATCCCTTCAGTCCTGGACCGTCAACTATAACTGAGGCTGCACCTTCACCAATGGCCTTCCTTGGCCATTCACAGTGCCAAGCCTCAGCTGCTCTCCATGACCCCTTCATGTTCAAAAACTAGTACCATTTGGGTGATTCTTACATATGACCAAGTCCAGCTAAAGCATGAGGTACAACCTTGGATGTCTCTGGAACACAGCTTCTTTGTGTTCTCAGAAAACACTTCCCAGAAGACTTCACCTCAATGATTCATGCTGGTCTCTCCTTAATCACTGCTCATTTCTTAGCTCCAGGTAACCAGCATCAATTGTCCCAGTAGCTCCTTCTATTCTTGACTCTAAAGCCAGAGCCACATGGCCGAAGCTGCCAAGTTCTGCTGCTTGTTGGAGCTGGAACATAGCCCCTTTGTTCTAGTACATTCTTACCAGCTTTATATCTTCCAACTCCTTTCCTGGCTAAGCTTGGCTGTGCTGGAACTTGCTCTGTAGATTAACTTGAGCTCAGAGATCTGCATGGCAGTGTCTCCTGAATGCATCGCTTAAAAATATGTATCATTGCAACTGGATTTGGAAGTTGCTCTGTCCCAGGCTGGCCTTGAACTCAGAGATCTGCTTGACTCTGTAGAGATTAAAAGTGTGTACTACCTTGCCTGGGCCTAAGCTTTTCATGGCCATTATACTTGAAGATCTGGATCACAGATGTACCCTCCGTTTCTGGATTGTAGTTCATTCCAGACGTAGTCAAGTTGACAACCAGGAATAGCTGTCACAGCCCTCATTATAAGTTTGGCTGAATTACAGTGAAAATTCAAGTGCTAGACTCTAAGGGTGTTGGCAGTCAAATTAAGGGCATTAATTGTAAAGAATGGGACCCTGTAACTTGACATGGGCGAGAGAACCCTGATGAAGCTGAGAACTTTGGTCCCTCGGATTCTCAAGGGTTTATCTCACCTGAAGAAGTCATCACTGTTCCCATCCCTTGAAAAGTGTTTTTTACCTTTGACTGAGGAAATTAATCCTTCATTGTCTGCTAAACCAGCAGTGACCTTCTCAGAAGGACATGCCAGGAAAGACAATACTGATGTCCCCCAGGGTCCACCAATCATTGCCTCGAGACCTCAGACCTCTAGACTTAAGACAAAGCAGGCTCCTAGAGGGGAGGTAGAAAGTGTAGTCCATGAGGAAGTGTGCTGCACTACTAAGGAATTCATTCAAGCAGAAATCTCGATAAAACATGGAATGGAAATTGGTGTCAAATGTTTGCTTGAACAGTTGGCCGAGCATTTGTCAAAAGATGGCTTATGGAAAATGAAGTGGAGATGCTTGATTCCTGTTGGCTTTCTGCTGATCAAGGGATTTTAAGGCTCAGGGAAATTTCAGTCCTAGAGTGGGTATGTGGGTATGTTGTGAAAAACCTAATCTTCCACAGTGGGAAGGCCTAGGAAACATGCCCTTCGCTGATTCTTTATGATGAAAAAATGGTGAGCCTGGCAGTGGTGGCACATACCTTTAATCCCAGCACTCAGGACGCAGAGTCAGGCAGATATCTGTGAGTTCTCGAGGCCAGCCTGGTCTACAGGATGAGTATCAGAACAGTCGAAACAAAGTTTTAATTGAGTTCCATCAGCAAAACTAAACACAAAACAAAACATAAAGCTGCAGAATGATCAGAGGAGCAGCAGCACATTTGGAGAGCTTTCTCATGTGCCAGACCTTAGTGTTGGAGATGATGCTGCTTATAGGATAAATTAAATAGATTTTAATTGGACTGGAGGTAGCAGGGGCCAGGTGGCCGCACTGAATCACCAAAGGAAAGGTGATCATGATTATTATAATGACAGTATAGACAATACAACATTTATAATGACTTAATGGTCAGTACAGGAGAGGTCAATTTTATAATGGCCTGACTCATTTGGACCTTTGGTACTGGCTAATCAATCATGGTGTGTCACGGCATGAAATAGATAAGAAATTTAATGAATTTTTGTTTAATCTATATAAGTAGAAAAATTTCAAGTAAATGAAAGAAAGGCTACATTGGATCATGACAAAATGGAATCTCAGCCTGTGAATCAATTTCCAAACTTGAGCCAGTTTGCAGACCCAGAACTCCTTGAATGAAGGCGTGGCCAGGTTCCCCTCAGGAAGGACCTAAACAAGACATCTAAAAGTTTCGCTGTTAGCCTTTCTCCAGTCCTTCCCCAGAGGGATCTATGGCCTTTTACATGGGGAACTGTTCATTGGAGGAAAGGAAACAAACAGACTTTCCAGCATCTTTTCGATAATCATCCTGAACTGACGCTGATTCTGGAAGATCCCAAGAAACACTGTGGCTCTCCAGTTAAAATATGGGCTTACGGAGGCCTGGTGATAAAAGGTGCTTTGACCAAAGTCAGATTCACAGTCAGTCCAGTGGGTTCCAACACTCATCTTGCGGTTATTTCCCCAGTCCCAGAATATATAATTGGGATAAATATACTAAGAAATTGATGGAATTCTCACATTGGTTCCATGACCTGTGGATCAAGGCTATCACAGATGGAAAGGCTAAATGAAAATCTTTAGAGTTGCCTCTTCCAAAGAAAACAGTGAATCAAAAATAATATCAAAACGCTGGGGGAACTGGAGAAATTAATTCCACCATCAAGGACTTGAAAGATGCAGGGGTGGTGGTTTCCACCACAAGTCTCTTTCACTTTCGTATTCGTCCAGTGCAAAGACAAACGGATCTTGGAGAATGATAGTTGACTATTGAAAATTCAATCAGCTGCCTCTGATTGTAGCTGCTATACCAGATGTTGTATCTTTACTTGAACAAATTAACATATCCTTGTACATGGTGTGCAGCTATTGATCTAGCAACTGCTTTCTTTTCCGTACCTTTCCGTAAGGACCACCAGAAGCAATTGCTTTCAGTTGGCAAGTAGACCTTCACAGTTTTACCTCAAGGATATACGAACGTTTCAGCCCTGTGTCATAACTTAGTTAGAAGGGATCTTGATTGTCTCTCTCTTTCGTAAAACATCACATTGGCTCACTATATTAATGGCATTATATTGATTGGATTAAGTAAGCAGGAAGTAGCAACCACTTTGAACTCATTGGTAATCCATATGCATATCAGAGGATGAGAAATAAATCCAACCAAAGTTCAAGTGCCTTCTACCTCGGTGAAATTCTTAGGAGTCGAGTGGTGTGGGTTATGCAGAGAGATTCTTTCTAAAGTGAAGGATAAGTTATTGCATCTGGCCCCTCCCACCACCAAGAAAGAAGTACAATGTTTAGTAGATCTATTTGGATTCTGGAGGCAGCACATTCCTCACTTGGGTGTGTTACTTTGGCCCATCTACCAAGTGATTCAGAAAGCAGCTAGCTTTGTGTGGGGCCTGGAACAGAGAAGGCTCATCAACAGCTCCAGGCTCCTTTGCAGGCTGTTCTACTACTTGGACCTTATGATCCAGCAGACCCAATGGTACTTGAGGTGTCAGTGATAGCTAAGGGTGCTATAGGTTAATCACAGAAGAGACCTTTGGGGTTTTGGAGCAAGGTTTTACCATCATCCGTAGTTAACTATTCTCCCTTTGAAAGAGAGCTCTTGGCTCTTTTGGGCATTAGTAGAAAGTGAATTTTGACAATGGGCTGTTGGCAGAAAATTTTTGCAAACGTTCAATTTTTAATAAATGTTCAACCTTTCCTCTTGCCCACCACCCACCAGAGGTAGTGGAAGAGAAAAGTAATTAGGATATGGAAGAAGTGAGCCTTTTTGGCAGTAGTTCTTTGGGGGTGAGCTCGATCTTCTCTGGGAGCAGTTCAGTCCCATAGCAAACACCAAACATGACTCGGCAGCTGCAGACCAGTCCTCTAGGAAGGAAGACACCAGGCACGAACCAGCAGCCGTAGTTCAATCCTGAAGAAATCTAAAGGCTTGTCAACTGGTCCAAGGAGAGGCTGCAGAAGCGGCAAGCTGCTGCAGTTACCTCATGAA